AGCCAGCCATGCTGGCTGGGGAATTCTGAGAGCTGAAGTCCACACATCTTAAAGTTGCCAAGGTTGAGAAACACTGATCTAGATGCACTTTGCTGAAAGGCAGCATTGGTAAAACCTGTCATAATGTGTTTTCTTTAGACTGTTCTTTGGGCACATCAAGTCTTGAGTTCATTTCAGATTCATTTTTTAAAATATTCTTCAAAGTCTGGAAGGCAAACTTTGTGACATCTTTGAAGCTAGGAGATACAAGGACAACAATTCCCACAATACACTATGGTACATTTTGGGCAGAAATAACAAAGCCTGCAAAACTAGCTTTGTTTGTTAAGTCATACCAGAAGACAATGATTTGGATTTGAAAAAATATTGAGTAGTTGACTTGGAGTGCTTTATCCTTCCACACTAATCGTTGAAGGCCCTTTCCCCATGACCTACTTAAAGTACTCTCCACCCATCCTTAAAGAGGAAGAAAGCTATATTGGCATACTATCTGCTGCTGCTTCCTATCCTGCCTCTATAACCTCTGTTCTAGTATGCTGCTGAATGGTAGTGACCCAATCTGTGCTGTGCTGCACTTGTTAAACACAGTCATTGATTTAAACCAGTGTTTTTCAAACTTGGCAACTTTAAGATGTTGGCTGGCTGGGGAATTCTGGGAGTTGAAGTCCATGCATCTTAAAGTTTGAAAAACACTGGTTTAAACTTTCTGGCTTTGTTGCCCTTTTCCTTATGAATGTCACCAGCTAGCAGGAAATCATCTACTGACCCCATCACTACTGTGATTGGAGGACGATTTCCACAGATGGCTGGACCTGCAAATTTAGCCATCTGTCAAAACCCTTGTTTCCCCAAGCCCTGCTTAGCTACTGGGATGCCTGGAGAACTGGGAAAGCCTGCCTCTTTCAAACCTGCCATCTCCTGGAGCCCATGGACCAGCTGTACGGTAACCTTATTTTGAGCCCAGGTAACCTGCTGTTAATAGAAGCCTGCTGGACAGCTGAGGACCTGGGGGAGGAGCGGTCTGATGAAGTGGAAGTAGTTCTCTCGAAACTGTGTGAAGCGTTCCAGCTTTACTGCATGTTTGGCACACTTCCAAATACAGTGGCAGCTGTGCCCTATTCTTTCCCTCCTGGGAAAAAGAAGGAGGGGCAAAGACTGGATGAAATAGATGTGTACATGGCAGCACAAAGTGACCAACAAGGGCCAGGCTCATCTTGCCCCCTTTTGGTCATCTCATTGTGCTGCTACCAACGCTGGCAGTGATGCTCAGCAGATTGTACACACTAAAACTGTCACTGGTTGTTGTTGGGTTGAGAAGAAAACTACTGGAATACCAGCACAGTTCACCATGACTGAAATTATCTGCTCCATGGGCTGAGTATGAGATGAAGGCAATGGCATGGGAATGTTTGTAGCATCCTAAGAAAGGCTCTGAGACACTATCCCTCTGTACTGGTTTTTAGTTACTCTTCTACCTTTATAGCTTTAGGGAAAGGAGAGCTGCAGTTATATAGAACAGCTGAAGAAAAAGGGAAGAACCGATTGTCATTCCTAAATGCTCCTTCCAATGGTGCTCCTGTTTAAAGTTTTTGTATGAAACATAGCTTCCACTTGCTTTCATGATAGCATTTGGTAATTAAATCTTGCTGAAGATATTGAATGCTTTCTGTAGTTTTTGTTTTGTTTTTTTAATTTTTAGAGTACGTACTTTACTCTGAAATCGTCAGCAGCCAGCTTGGAATTGTCAATCTGCAAGATGATCTTGGTGTTGTCTAGTCGGGCTTTAGTAATCTGAGGAACAACAAAATATAAACAAAAAGCAAGGCATTACTCTTTGGCTTGGAGTCTGCAGAATAAACTCAGAAGTTAAATGCTTGAGAATAATACTTGAATAGGAAAACTGTGTGTTAGGAACCCAGCCACTTTTCCAAATGGTATTTGAGACTGGGGTTTCAAGCTTTATCCAAAAAGCAGCAGCTTCCATTTCAAGTTGAGTGCTTGGACACTCAGTTGGAAATAGATGGAAGTATCCTTAAATACCATGGTTTTGAAGATGTACTATTACTTGACCATTGATCTTATGTACCCAGTTCATGGAGTAAAATGAAATGGAGAAAGTCTTACAGGCCATCTAATCTAGCTCAATATTCAGTGCAAGAACTGAGATGTCAGAAAATGATTTGCTACCTAAGGTGAAAAGCAAGATAGTACCCTGTCAAATTCTGTATGCATTTGTGATGGAACAATATTTTCCACTGCACTTGAAGGCAATAGTTTAGCTTAAGAGGCACAAAGCTAGCACTGTTTGCTGCCTGAGGTAAATGCTGAATGGTGCCTAATTGTAGGACGGGTCCTGACAGCTGGAGTATCTGAAGTAAAAGCTTGTTCAGCATTTGTCTGAAGTCACCTACCTAGTTCCCAGCTCTCAGAGGGCCCAGAGCCCAATATAATATCCCACATATATGTAAAATAACAGTCCCCATTGAAACAAAGCCTTTGGTAGTGCTCACATATTTAACAGTCAGTGAAAGAAGGTTTCTTAAATTATGTTGTTGTAATTGGGGTGCCCTCTTATTCAATCCATTCCACTCTGATTAAAATGTATAATATGTATATTGTGCCATCGCTGTAAACCAGGAGTGATGAACTTCTGATAGCATGCCGCGCTTGTTATTCCCCACCTAGTCATCCTCATGTCAGAAAAATGTCATGGGCCATCCCTGTGAATGGAACATCCATCCATCCATCCATCCATCCATCCATCCATCCATCCATCCATCCTCCATTAAGCATACCTATCTGTGTACTGTAAATCTCAAAGCAGTTTGTAACACATACTATAAATTATTTCTATAAAATAGGACAATCTAATAAAAGGATTTAAAAAGTCTAAGAGGGATGAAGGAGAGATGATAGGATCTTCCAGCTTAGGTACCAGCTTCACCTACCCCTGGTTTCTGGCAATAAATCTCTCTAGCTCTTTAGAGGTCTTTGGCTGGGTTCTCTTCCTGTCTGCACAAAACTTTGAACCAGTGTGTCTCTTCTACTCCACTACCTCTTTCTTGTTTCAAATATTTCTTGCTCTAGATAGCCAAACTGCAGATTTAAAGTAAATTTGATCTTCCATTTCTTAGCATCTTGACAGGAATTCTACTTTCCTTGCTGAAAGTAGTGCAAGAGTGTGTATGCTAAAGGTCAAATCAGATTTGTTATTTCAACTAGTTTCTCCCAATAGTGATGAAATCATCATGGCTGTAGAAACTGTAGTAATACATAACTACCCCTCCCACCACATCACTAAATGGCACCCACCCAGGTAGCTACCTACAATATATTTACTTTTATTCAAATATAATGTCATGACGGAGATTAGAATAGCTGCAGACTGATAATAAGAAAGGTGGAATGAATTAATTAAAAATCTCACACGTAAGGTATTTCTCATCAGCTTTTGGACTTTCAAAACCATTTGATGGGTGAAAAGAAACACGAGAAGAACAAGTGTCATGGGAGTACTATAGAACAACAACAGAACAATTGTCAGGCCCAGCGCAAGAACAACGATGAAACAGTCCAGCCGAGTATAGTTCCTTTATTTGCTTACACCTCAAAGACAGAATCTTGCCAAATCTATACTACTGCAACTTATGATATAACCTGGGAGATTCTAGGGAGTGGCGACCCTGAACCTCTTACCCTTCCCACGCTCCCTCTGCGGACTGTGTGTCTTTTGTCTCCTTTCCCCTGCTGAAATGCACCCCCTCCTTCCTGATAGCCTTGATCTCCCACATCAATTATGGTAGGCAATAATATACAGGTAGTCCCCAGTTTAAGAACGAGTTCCATTCCCAAGGTCTGTCCTTAAGTCGAATTTGTATGTAAGCCGGAACAGTAATGTATATGGTATTTTTTCCTGAAATTAATATATATAGGATTATACAAGGAACTGTATGAGTTTCTGGAATGACACATAGATTTTCAACATTTCTCACTCTGGATTTTGACCTAGTTATGGGGCCAAGATTATATTTAGAAAAGCTAACGTAGTGAAATAAAAAGTCTTCCACACAATATTTAATATAGTGCTATATTATCATATGATGTTATCCTTGATCAAGGATGTTTTTCTTGCTCAGTAATATCCCGTCCAGTGTTGAATTGTAACAAGTAACTTGCATTGTAATGCTAGCTTCACTCTTTATTATAATGGAGTATCTGCTATTGCCTGTTGAATAATCAGGTGCCGCTTAATATGAGTTCCTGGCATTATTTTTTGTTATCCTAATACATTATTTTTCTAATTATCACTAATAATTTCATTTTTAGATCAGTATTTTTCCCTTAAAAGTATATATTAATTACAGCATCTCTGCAAAAATGTTCTTGCCAACCCGCTGATGGATTGGCACTGCAAATGGATTTAATTTTTTTTGAAAAGATAACACTGAGAATAATGTAATAGCCTGGCAAAAATGTCTGGATGGGCCACAAAGCAAGCAAGCAAGCAAAATGGTTCCATGTCAAGGTTGATCAACAGCAACTAAGAATAGAAGAGTTGCGAATGTGCTGAATGCCCTCACCCACATCTCAGCAGTTCACCATCTTTAGAAAGACTTTGAGATGGTGATAATGCCAGATAATTAGAAAATGAAATGTTTGATATTTGCCAGGACTAGGTCAGCCCTAGTATAACTAGATGCTAAACTACTTGGGTGCCAGACCCTCTGCTCCCTTTGCTTTTTTCTGCACAATTGGTAGGCAACTGACAACTCTACAGTATTCAGTTCCAGAAAGGCACTTATCGTAGCTTCGTGATGTCAACCGTGTATGTGACAACTCCTGAAAAATTTTGTAATGTTATTGTTAGAAGAAAATGATTTTATTAACTGACCAGTTCTTGATCAGGGTTAAACAACTTTAGAAACAGTACATTGTCCACTCTTAACGGCCTCCTACAGTAAGTTGTTCAGAAACGAAAGAGAATCTTACCTCATTTTGGAGTTCTTCAATTTTTCTAAAGTAGGCACTGTAGTCTTGCTTAGCAACAGGGGAACTGTTTTCGTACCACTCCCGGATCTGGTTTTCAAGAACAGAGTTTGAATTTTCTAAGGCGCGCACCTTTTCCAGGTATGCAGCCAAACGGTCATTCAGATTCTGCATGGTACTTTTCTCATTGGTGGCAAACAGCAGTTCATTTATGGAAGTGCTGCGTTGCAAACCACTGCCAAAGGAGCTGCCGTGGTTACTGCCAAATGAAATTCGGGTGCCAGAGCCACCAGCTCCTCCATGGACGCTGGGTGTCCGGTATTTTTTGAGGGATGACTTCCTATAGATGGAAGTACCTCCAGCTGATCCAGTACTTTCGAAAAAGGCATTTTTTAAGTTGATACTGCCAGGTCGAGACATTGGTAGTGGGTATGTGTGTCTAAAGGATGAAATATCTGAACCACTTTTGCAGAGACTGTTGCAGAGAATGCCGCATAGGGCAGTCTTGGACCTTTATATTTGTGTGTAAAAAGGAGGAGGGTTGACAGGGCTGAACTTCACCTCTCCTGATAACAGTTAAGGGAATATTGGCATTCTTATTATTTTATCCCATCCCATGGCTTGGCAGTGAAAGAGACTTTAATCAGCACTTGTGTTTCAGTCCAAAGTCCAGAGAAGATCTTTGTGTTTATTTCATTATATTTGTCCCTTACGCCTGCCATAGTTTGTATAATGGGGCCTCTCCCTCAAGACAAACTAAGGAAAGTGTCAGTAGGAAGGCTAAAGTTTCTGTCATGCTCCTATTTAAACAAAAGTTGCTTTGAATTCCTGCCTAGTTCTATCCTTAATTTTCACATGACCTCCATAGGAATAGAATTCTTCTGAAGTAGTGAATCCGCCTCATTCATTTGCAAGGAAAGCAAATGTCAGTAAGTACAACTAAGGTAAGTTGGGCAAAATACATTTTTCATAAGGATGCAAGTTTGTGGGTCATTGATCAGCTCCATTATTAATTGACATTGGTACAGTAATTCATTGCTCATTAGATTTTGCATTCATATTTATATAGGAAAAATTAGCAATGGACTCATATGGTAGGCTAATATAACTTTCTCCCAGACCCTAGACAATATTAAAAAAGCATTGCTCTTAAAATATTTTTGGCTGAAACATTCCTGGTTTACAGAATGATTCCATTTCACAAAGTCATAGACTTGGGGGGGAAAAACCCTCAAAGATCATTAAGCTTAACTCTCTCCCAATGGAGGAATTGTGGCCTGCATCTTGCATGTACAGTAGTCCCTAATCCTTTCCTTCTGGCCTTCACCCATCCCTCTGCTGAGATGTAATACCATTTTATTTTTTAAAAAATTCCCCCATATGCCAAAATAGAAAAAAGAAGAAAATGCCAGATCCATCTCTTAAGTGACATTAACCTAATGCTAAACTATGTTTAATCCACTTGACAATGTTAAACTCTGTGGTCTGTATCCATAATAGTTTTGCAATTCTCCTTAGTGCTAATCCTCTCCTTGCTGCATCATCACAGTGTTCCAGAAAATTCTTTAATTCCCAGAAAGACTGCAGTGGGAAAAGAGGGATTGGTGAAAACCAGGGATTGCTCTATTGAAAAATTGCCTTTACATGCAATCATTTAAACAATTTGCTTTGCTTTGCTTTGCTTTGCTTTGCTTT